AAAAGGAGAAGGGGGGGGAGAAAAGGAGAAGAGGGAAACTGCATTTGTACCTGGTTCCTTTTCAATCATGGAAAGAATGCGACTAGTTTCACTACAGTCTTTCTCAAATGCCTATCAGATTGGCAGCATCTGTATTTTGAGATGAATCTGAGTATTCAAATTTTCATTCACAATGGCCTAATTCATGTCTGCAAACACGCGAAGGCAGGTGCAGATCATGTTGCAGTGTGGAGAACGCCTCTGGCTTACCTCTTCGACACTGTACACTTAGGGGAGGGGGACTTGAATTGTTGAGATGCAGCTTTTCATAAAAACAGAGTAATAGTGTTGAAGCATTTCCATTTCACAACTGATATTCCAATTGCACTGATTCAAGTCTTGGTATTATTTCTTTAAACTTCAGAGAAGATGTACCATCTTTTATCAGTCAACTATTACATAGCTTTTTAGCCTTTTGATCTTTTTCAGTATTGCAACCGAAGATGCTCAAAAATACACTAATAATGTCTAACAGGCAAGAAAAACTTCTGATAAATATTTTCTTAAAAGACAAAAATTCTGTTACATGGCCTTGATAGGCTTCAGGTGCAGAAGATACAGGTAAGCTTAGTATCATCTAAGGATAGCATTTCTATTTTTCTGTCTCCAGCAATCATAAAATCAGATAGTGTTTTTAAGCAATCTAACCACATCCACTAACTAATATTTCTGATCACAATTTCTCTTGTATTTACAAATCAAGTTCTTGGATCCTTATCAAAAACAACAGTGTATGTGCATAGTGCATCAAGCAATAAATAGCTGCTTCCACATCAGCACTGTTTTGGAAGAAGTAACTCTGCTACATACCTTTACTTGATCTGGATGTCTATCTGCAAATGAAACCAACTCTGAGCACCACTGTGATATCATGTCAAAAGCTGGAACTGGCCAATCGAGACAAGAGGCACTGGTGAACTGATGAGCCGACTGAAAAGATGGTAATAGATCCAGGCAGCTTGCAAGAACTGCGAATTCTTCATCTTCCTTTTAGTGTGAAACCAGAGAGTTTTAGATTAATACCTACACTCCGAATTTTTAAACAGTTTATTAAAAACGTGTCTATTCCAGTAACAACAGCAAAGACATTCTACTACAATGATGCTGACAGACATGTTCAGAGACACAGAAAAGCTTCCATTTTTTCCAAATTACCTCAAACTAGATTGTCAAACTACAAAAAAAAATGGTCAGAATACAAAAAAACAACCAACCAAAACCCACAGAAAACCACAAATCCAAGAAACACAATCAAAAAATCCCCCAAACTCCCAATAATTTTCTTCCCGTTTAGCACCCTAAATTGGCTTGTGGCTGTTTTAGAGATGACATGATTTTGAGGCAAGGAAATGAGGGAGTTGACCTGCAGCAAACTCTACTTTAAATCAGTCACAGAACTTAAACGTAACTGTCCACTGATGCAATGTCTCTGAGAATACAGTCCAAGTGTGAACAGGCATTAACCAAAATCAGGCCTGAATTCCAGTCTGCATGGAAATTATGCCATCTCTTCAAATGCTGGACAAGTTCTAAAAGTATGTTGGTATTTTATGAGACAGGCATCTACGACCTGATAAAACAAACATGTATTTGCTGAATTTTAAAAAGATAGTACCATTTTTCAGAGAAACTGCCTTGAAAAAAAAATTTATGGAAGAGAAAGAATGCTGCAGAGCAATGCTATAAAACACGATTTAAAAAAAAAAAAATCAATCTTAGGATAGAAAACACATACCATGAAAAAGACACCTTAAAACTCTAATTTTTGATCTCTAGCTTTTAAACGGAAACATTTGAGTGTGCCCATCTCAATCTGTACCTGGCAACTAGGTAAATCCCCTCCAAAAAGATGGTGTTGAAGAAGGCTTGTGATCCTGAGGAAGGGCAGGCAGAACTGCTGCAGGTAGCACTCTATAGAATCAGCATTCACCTATAGGGGAAAGAAGCAATTGCTAAACTCTGCCTCAGATAAGTTGTCTCCTATGTAAGAAAGTCCAGTATGAACCAAATGTTTTTTAAGCATACTATGCAGATCACTGCATCAAACAGACATTTCAAAAGCCAGCATTTCACTAATAATCTGAAAGAACTCTGTGGGTTTTCTTTCTCCCTTGACAAATGTTTTTTATACTTAAATATTCAGTTTTCCAAGTTTCTGAAAGGTCTTTCGTACATATGATTAAAAACTACAATTGTAAGAAGTATTTGTCAATACCTTTCTCAACACAGCACTGGCCACATATGATATTAGTAAAATACAGATTTGCAGAGGCAAACTGTCCCAAAGGGCTGTGCTTTGATCTAGAAAATAGATTTGTACTGCAGTCTTTAGCAAGATCAGAGAAAAATCATTGTTAACAATGAGGCTGAAAAACTTGAATAACAGACAGAAAGGGGACATGCTAGATAAATTGTCAAGAGATTTGCCAATACCACTGTTAATTCTTCAGTCTCCTCTTCTTCATATATCTTCCCCTTAGAAAGCTCACTAATCACATGACCCAGCAATACTTCCCAAGATCTTTCTCCACTGGATGCATTCTGCAAATAAGAAGGAAAGAAATCCAAAATGTGCTGGTCATAAAAAGGAGAAAAAGCTCCTGTAAAAGTAATAGCAACGAAATACATTTCCTTTTTATCAACAGATGAATTTTGACCTATAAAGATACACGTTGGTTAAAAAAAAAGTAATTAACTACAGAAAGGGAATGCATTTAGCTCACAGAATGAAATATGAATTGCTACTTCAATTACGTATGTTCTAAACTGAGCGTTACATGAAAACACTTTTATAATGTTGCATTTCTCGTGTTTTTTCTCCTGTGAGTATAAAAATGCTTACTTTAAAATTACGAAGAATCACTTTACAGATATATTGTGTTTTGACAGAGTTTGAATTCTATGAAAACTATTTAAAAAAAAAAAGCAGTAGTATTCTAAAATGTACCAATCAGAATGAGTTACAAACCACTTGCTATGTATTTTAAGTTGAAACAAGCCTACCAGAAAATGGAAAGTTGTGTTTGGAATGAACAATATCTTCTACAGATGGGAAAAAATATTTAGTGTAAAGAATAAACAGCCACTTAGTTTTGTGCCATTGCACTTACATTTTTAAATGTAATTTAAAATGGCAGATGGCAGCTATTATAGAAAGCCATCTGAAGAAGAAAGCAGTATTCCCATATTTTTCTTCTAAGTCATCATCAATTCTACCCAGGGAAAACAGGATTGGATGTGAATTTTGACCTCTTTTAGTATGTCATCAACGTAACAAAGTCTTTTGGCCAAAGGATGTGACCGCGCAACTAAAGGCCATACTGCTGCTCACCAACCCTCCCCCACCCCCAGGGGACGGGGAAGAGAACTAAAGGAGAAAAGGGAAAGAGGAGACCCATGGGTTGAGATAAGAACCATTTACTACTACTATGTTAATATATGTACAATGACAATAATATACACAAACAAGTGATGCACAGTGTAACTGCTCACCACCTGGTGACCAAGGCCTGTCTCATCCCAGACTAACAATCTCAAAACAGGTAAATCCCAACACCACAATCCCAGGTAAGTGAAAGGCCCGGAAAGACAGTGAGAGAGAGCGCGTGTGCGCACTCTGAGAGTGAGAGCCCTGGAAAACCAAAAGCCTTTCTTTCCAGTCAACCCTCATTTTTATACTGGGCATGATGCTGCACGATATGGAATACTTCCTTGGCCAATTCAGCCCTCAATCCCAAATCTAAGTTCAAATCATAAGGGAAATTGTAGCCCCTTTGTCCCGGCCACGCTCCCCCTAGCCTGCTGTGCTCCCACACACTGGCAAAACATGAGAAGCTGAAAAGTCCTTGAGGTCTCAGTGCTGATTATAAACATCAATGCGCTGTCAGCATTCTTCTCCTAATGAGTCCCAGACTAAAACCAAAACACGGAGCTCTTCTAGCTGCTAACAAGAACTACTAACTCTGTGCCAGCTGAAACCAGGACAGAGTGGAACATTTCTGGGATTCTTTAAAAAAATTCCAAAATGACTAGATGAGATTAAATATATAAAGACTTCAGTACATAACAGTGTATATAATTCATCAGTTGGTGTCTTTAGTGCATTTTGACATCAATTATAATTGTTAAATTTTAGATGGGTCTTCACCTTTCAGCATCAGGAAGACAGACTTGCTGTTTATGCTCATAGTCTAAGAACCTGAAGGTAACACATATTTAAATCGTCACTTCGGACAAACCTTTTGCCTACATTATTCCTGAAGTTTACCCCACAGGCATTTACATCATGCTTCTTATGACACCATAAGGCGCCTTGCAAAGATGACAAGAATGAAGTTGGGAATAAAAGTAGAATATCAACCTCTCAAGCCCTGCTGAGCAATTAAACTCTCAATGTTGTTTGATCATTTGGCATGAATACAGAAGAAAGTCTTCAGCTCATGTTTAATGTCTGAAATAGATTCACTTGGCATTATCCACAGACAAAAGTTAAGTGTGATCTCTGTAGCCATCCTGGGATCAAAATGTCAGTATTATCAGCACCTGAACCAGACATTTTAAACCATTTGGGCTTCAAGAAATTTTAAAGAAAGAAATTGGATTCCTAAGCTAAAAACCAGCTTCCCTCATGACATTCAAAGAGAAAGAATTCATCTGAGGACTATGGCTAGGCTCAAGAAGAGAAGGACTGCCAAAAGGCTAGGAGAGAGGAACAGGGAGTTGTGCAATTACCGTTGGCCAGTTCTCAGAAGTCTCCGCAACGTACACAGGGTCCAGGCAGCAACATTACACAGGAGGAGGAGCAGGAAACTGGAAAGACATCTGGGGCAGGGCAAACTTGCATGTGGGACTTTTGCAGAGCCTCTGCACTTGGGGTGGATTATCACTGGGGTGGGATGGAAGCCAAGAAGGAAGTGTAGGAGTTCCTGAAAGCCTGAGGATCATGCAGATATCACCTTAAGCACCTACTGCCAAGCTGCTGTCAAAACTTGGACCTTTGTACACAGATGATCTACACAAGACAGACAAGTCAAAGGAGAAGGACATTTTCAAGGGAGAGTGAGAGATGCTGTCAGTACAGCACATATGCAGCAGAGAGCAGCGTTCACATCTACCTCCTACCTCTTTTGCTCTCCCATTTGGAAAACTGTCAGCCTTCAATGGGCTTCTCACAAGAGAAAAGCAAAAATTCTCAAACTGACAGAAGTTAATCTGCTGTATTATTCGGATTACACTAAATCACAGCATTCATTTGCAGTAACATACTCTTTAATGTGCTACTATCTCCCACTTGGCCTTATCATCCATCAAAGACAAGCACACTAGAGAAAATTCCACTAAAATGAACTGTCTTCACTATCAAGAGAGATGGCTACTTCATAAATCCATTACCTGAGCCATTATCATAATTTGCAAAGACTCAAGTACGAAGTGTGTTATACGAAGCAAATGCTTTCACGTGTTTCCGTAAGAAAACATCTTGGTATCAATAGGCAGCAAGCCCACGCACCACATGCCCTAAGTCTATTTTCATACAACAAAATCTGTCACTGTAGACAGAAAATTAAGCATTGTAAATACATGTTAGATAAACTCCAACCTCTGCTACTAAGAAAAAGGCAGTCCGTGTTCATCACACGGACTATGAAAGACTATAGGCTGGTAACACTTTAATCTATTTATATGCTTTCTACCATAAACTTTGAACTGCAAAATTATTTATCACTTGGAAATAACTCCAGCAAACAGAGAAATGGAAAAAAGCCCTCACCAGCAACAATCCCAAGCAAACGTTCTTGAAATGGTAAGAAAATGACAATATATTGAAAGAAGGAGGTGGAGAGGGAGTTAACAAAATGCAGTACTGCCCAGTGATCTCAAATATTTAATGTAAGTCCAGGAAAAAAAATCCCGCACAGTAGCAATTTTGCCAGCAGATAATTTGTCTTTACTATCTTGGAGCTGTGACTGACCAGTGTGACAAATCTAACTTACATATGAAAAGCAGGTCATGCTTCTCAGCGTGCATTTCATTTTCAGCCAACATAATCTAAGGCCCAGCTGTTTTATAAAGGGGTACTCCTGCTCCCATTTCCTCTCCTGGCCCCAACACTTCCATCTTTCCCTCGGTCTGGCACTGGCACTCTTCTGACCTTCTGGGAATCAATCTGTGGAGCAGAAAACTAACTGAAGAATTAAATGAATGTCAGTGCCAGCGCAGGGAACTGTGTCTTTTGGTGGGAACTTGTAAATACTATCAAAAGGCAGGGAAACGATAGTGAAACATCTACCTGCCTAGTCTACAAATTTCTTTCTCTGCCTCTTCATCACATGAGCACTCTAGATCACTCATTCTGAGAAATTTATATGGCTAGCCACAAATAGTATGAACAAATAAGAAAAAGAGTTTTTTTTGCCATCCAACAAGCTTGCCTGCCTTTCCTGTAAAGGAGTGCATCAGATCAACCCACAGTTTACCTGCGAAGGCTTCAATTTCACAGGAAGGAAAGCTGCATTTACTTGATACTATTGCAACAAACTCAAGACTGAAACTATAGAGATACAACCTCAAACGTCAAACTCAGTTCTGGGACTAGACATTCACTGTGGAGCTTTTAAGTCTCATCACATAACACCACCTGCAAAAATTGCACACGCAGAAACAATATACTAGATTTTTGTGAAGCAGAAGCAAATTATTATACTGAAAGTACAAGTATCTGTTACATTCCTACCAGAAATACATAAGCAAAGTTTTCATAAATGTTTTAATAAATTAACCAACCTTTTTGAGAGCTCCTGACTCTTTCCATGCCATCCTATCTTCAGCACTGCATTTAACCGAAAGTGCTGCCAAGGCTTGAGTATACAATAAAGTGAACAGCACTTTTATAATGCAGGTGAAGTGTTCTGTAAAACAAAAAGTCATTTTTAAACACTTGATATTTTTAGCAAATATACTGATTACAGAGACTTTAGTTATGGAAATGACGCTTCTCAAATGAAAAGCAAGCGCTATACAAAAAGTACAAACCCTCAAAACATGCAAGACAACATAAATATATGTACAGGCTTTCAAAATGACTTGGCAGCCGTAGGGAACAGAACAAGTACAGGGCAAGTAATTTTCCACTGCTCCATATGTTCATCTTAATCCTGATCAGCAGTGACTTCCTCCCAGGGACCTGGTGATATTACAAAATTCTATTTTGTCCAAGCGTTACACCAAGTTAAGCTACTGATTACTGATAGCTACAACTAATTGGGTGCTGTAGATATAAGCAAATGCATATCCGACCATCTCTTCTGGCAATGATTAAATCATCTGGGGTAAGTTACAGACATACAAGTACTGGAAAAGTTAAGTTCCGAAAGAAATCACTGTAAGAAGGACATTTAGCGCACTTCAGTTGCTATCTCTTCACTTCCAAATATGGATCCAGCCGTATAAGACTTGCTGCAAATCACTCTTTATGAGTACATACTTACTGGATCTCATGTGAATACAAAAGCACAAAAGTCAGATTGTCATTTTAGAACTTACCATCTTTTGAAAGATCTTTGTTTACAGTTTTTAATAATATTTAAAGGATTATTATCTCCTACATACAGGTTGCAGGAGAAAAGAAATCTTTTTTAGGAAGCTAGCAACAGAGGCAAAATAAGATTTCCTAAAAGTGAAACAGGAAAAAAAGGTCAATGTGATCATTCACTGAAATGAAACTATGGTAGCAGTCCTTTTTTCTCTTTTTACTTTAGGTTGCATTTCCCATCCCAAATAATCTGTTGTGTTTTGTTTTGGTTTTTTTTTTTAAATCTAGGCAGATCAAAGAAGTTTCTATCATCAATTACACTATTCCTTAAGCACAAACGTAACTGTAATATATATCTAAAACAATGCATAAAAAAAAAATGTGGGTTTTGAAAAGTCCTCTCAGGCTTTGAAGTCAAGCAAAACAATTTTGTTTACATAAGCACCTCACAAAAATTGGGTTAAATTCATTTTTTCTTCCCAAAGGAATTAAACAAGCTTTGTATGTGAAAATGAAAAGGAGGTAAGCGAGACAAAACTCCTTCCTTCTCCTTTCTTGTATCTAATATCAAAACACACCACTGGGTTCTAAAACAAACACAGCCAGGACTCCAGTACATAATTAAATTTGTGAAACAACAATTGCTTTTTTATGTAACAAATGTTTCTAAATCAACACAAACATGAATTCCGAAACTTTATGTCACTGAATATATAAAATAAGCACAATTTAAGCACCCAAATGATCATTTGTAAGCATGTAGTTAAAAGTGTCCTTTTCTTCTCTATTCCTATGGAGCTTATGTTAAACATAACAAACACTGCTATACTTCATCTGCCCCATTCTAGATCAGGTAGCATTACAATGATTTTTCCTCACCACATTTCCCCAGAAGAAGAATTCACCAGACGCCATTAGATCTCTGGGCCCTACTTTTTTCCTCTGCTGAAATCTCCACTTTCTTAGCAGTCCTCCCTCCTGAAGAGGAGGACCCTCCTCTGGACTTGTTGAAGTGAGTCCAGAGTAGGGTCACGAAGATGATCCGAGGGCCAGAGCACCTCTCCTACAAAGACAGGCTGAGAGAGTTGGGGCTGTTCAGCCTGGAGAAGAGAAGGCTCCAGGGAGACCTTCTAGCAGCCTTCTAGCACCTAAAGGGAGTCTACAAGAAAGCTGGAGAGGGGCTTTTCGCAAGGGTGTGTAGTGATATGACAAGGGGTGATGGCTTTAAAATGAAAGACAGTAAATTTAGAATAGATGGAAGAAATTCTTCCCTCTGAGGGTGGTGAGGCACTGGAACAGGTTGCCCAGAGAAGTTGTGGATGCCCCATCCCTGGAAGTGTTCAAGGTCAGGCTGGATGAGTCTTTGAGCAACGTGATCTAGCGGAAGGTGTCCAAGGTCCCTTCCAACCCAAACCATTCTATGATTCTATGAATAGCAGGCAAGCTTTCAGTAAATTTTCTGGAAGATTAAACCACATGCACTCACAGAATTGTAAAAATTGCCTCTTCAGCCTGAGCTCCAGTCTATAATAATCGTAAGTAGAACTGAACTCAAGTCTATCTCCATCAATAGCATGTACAAGCAATAGAGATCAATTTTACACTGTGAAAGCACGAATGAAAACCACTGCATTTCGAGCAGCAGAACTAGACCGCTGGTCAACATTCACTAATCTGCCACAGCCCACTTCATCTTCTAGTTCTCATTCTGTTCTGCTGAAATGATTACACAGTGCTCGACACTGGGCACTTTGGCACCCTCTAGAACTATCACCTTTTTTTACATCTATTTTATGTTAAATATAACTGCTCCTTGTCCCTATGTCCACCTTAATACTAGTTGTTCAATTCACCAGAAATATTCTATCTAGCATATATTATGTTTTTAAAAATAATGTTCTTGTATTTATTTAGATGTATGTGAATCATAAATGACTATGAAATTGCATTTTTGGGAAGCCAGGACTGAACAAACCCTACACACTCCCATATCTGAGTCACCCTTAAGAAGTCCTGACTTCTGCAAAATATTTTTTTTTTTTTTTTTTGGAAAGTGTCACAGGAGCAGTCAGAGGTGGCATGCTATGTAATGAGCACCAAGGCTTTGAAAACAAATATTTTATGGTCACAGAAACATCTTATGGGAAACGTACTAAAAACACCAATCAGAGGATCAGTTATCAGTTCATTATTATGTGTGATCTGTTATTTATAAATTGCAAAATATTTGACAGCTGTAGGTATCCATAATGCTGGAGCTGTTACGTTCTTGTTTACTGCAAAGAGCGATTTTATTTGCCTTTCCACAACCCGCGCATGGGTTCCTGCTGCCTGCCGGGTGGAGGCTGTGGTTTTGCTACATCGTCTTTTTCATTTAATAATTCTGAAGATTGCTAGTATGTTTGTATGCTGTGGAGTAAGCTACGTAAATGCTGTCAGTCTCTTTTGCTGCAGATGATACACTGTGCAATGTTCTGCACTAAAATGCAGTTAGGACTTCTGTGTTTGCACATAAAAACCTAATCTGATATTCTGACAGTCTGAAAGTTATATTGTTATGGCTAGGCCATTATAATCAAAACAGAGGTTAATGCAGAATTTGTCTTCTTATTTTTGAATAATACTGAGAAACGCTTTATGTTTCTACTTCTAAAACTTTTTTAAACAAAACTTCTTGGAACCAAATTCCTTCACAGCATCCCATCCATTATAGGAATTAAACAAACTCCATTAAAAATACAATGAAGTTTATATAGGAAACACTTCTAGAACTCTAATTTTAACATTAGTTCAAGAAATGTGCAGAGGAATAAGGGTATTAATAACAATATGAATCTTTTAATTTCAATATCAATTTAGATGATATATGCTGGCAGGCTATGACTGCACAAAGAATCCAAAAATCGAACCAAATGCAAAATTAAGGACCAAAATTAGGACCTTTTTTAGTGAATTCAGAAGGGTATCTTATTTATATAAATAACTTTTGAAAATATTTTTCTTGATCTAAAGCTGGAACAGTTATTTGAAAAAATAGCTTCAGAACAAAGGGAGACAGCACCAAACTCCAGATAATCCATGAAAGGTATACTGAAAGTTCCAGGATGAAGAAATATTTCAGTTTCCACATCAAAATTGGATACTATTCAAGTTGATTACATTCATTCTATATTTAGTCAAGATCCTTATCCAGTCATTACAGAAAGTGCTAGTGTTCCTCTGAGCGCTGCTTGCTGTATTTTTATTGCATGTCATTGAAACTTTAGAGAAAAAGAATGTGTCAGAACATCCAGGTCAGGTTCTTCAGCTTCTGGGCCTTATCAGAATTGCAAAAAAAGGGGCTGAATTCAGGTGTTACACACCAGAGAAGAAAATCTTTCCCACAGGCCACAGAGGTTGGGCTAAACTCTCTGCAAGCTGGAGCACATGCACCACTCCCAAATCATGGATCTCTTAAAAGCAGCACCATGGCCTATGCTAGAGCAACGCCGGGCTGCGTAACAGCGTGCTGGCAAACATCCATGCTGCTGCACGAAATGTGCGGCACCAAGCAGAGCATCAGGCCACTGCTGGCCAGCTGACCACCTATTCTATGCACCTACTAGCCTCAGGTTCACCTCTGCTTATCCAGACCCCAGTTTTTAAATACTTTGCAACAGTATGATTTTTTATTTTTTTTTATATTCAAAGCAAAGCACAAATTGAAATCACTGGAAGCTATAAGCACTCTGCACTTCTAGAAATCCAACCACAGGGATCTCAAGTCAGGTACTGGGAAATAATTGTTTTTACAATTGAGAGTAACAAAGAATGTCCAATTTGAATAAAACGACTTGTTCAGCATACAGAAATTGTGCTGCAGAAAGGGGTGGTGGGAGGCGTTGAATTCAATTTACAAGGCCAGATTCAAGTTTTAGTAACCACCGAGCCGCTGTCTCCATTTCTGTGCTACCTTTCTTCATACGCAACACCGTTTCCTATTTCTGTAAGAAAGGATCTATAAGTTCTAGAAACAAAAATCTTCATTTCCTACAGAGTCCCAATTCACAACACCATGAGCACTGTCCATTCTCTGCACAACAACTGTCACAGAATTAAACCAGAAACACGTATGTGGATTATTATGCATTTGCTGTTGCACAATTTCAAGATGCTGAGCGTATGAACCCTATAAAAGCTCTGCCCATGTCCTAGTGTCAAACAAACAAACAAAAAATCACAGTTTTAGTATCTTGAACACAAAGGGGTTTTTTTGCTGGTTACACTACACAGGAGGTATGCATTATCTTCCTCATTCCATTCTTTGTAAATTGATAAGTGCTTGTAAATGCTCTGACCTCCACCACAAAGTTTCTCCCGTACCAAAAATGGATTTAATTTGTAGTGCTCTTTCTTTGTGATGTGCTCAGATCGATTTTCCTCTCTGAATGAAGAGGCTGAACAGTAATGACATTTTTATTGCTTTAATCGATGTCAGATTGAAAAGATACCAACACCCATCCAACAGTTAATAGGGTAGTTAATGCCATTCCTAGTGCTCTATCTGAAGGGCAAGAGATGAAGTTTGGGTCCTCCTTACAGAGCACTCAGTGTTTTTATGAAACACACTGTAAACAAAAAAGATTTTGACTACAAACATGAAGGTGTAATACTTGATGAACAGTATTAGTATTCCTGTAAGGACACAAATATGGTTTCTCTGAATACATCAACATACCTAATAAATGATACTGCAAAACTAGTACCATTACAGGAGAAAGTCCATGGTAAAAGAGGGAGAAAATCTTTCATGGATTCTAAACCCTACAGATTCTTCCTTCATTATTACTATTCTAACACCATTTCCGCAGCATTCTGCACAAGACTGCAACACCACCTCTCTGTCATGTAGTTAAGTGTATCGTTAAAGGAATACACTGGAAATACCTGCCAACGCACACAGGCACCAACCTGCTGTTTGCACACTGGTGTCCAGCCAAGCCCACAGCTCCCACACCCCACAATAATGCCAAAGCAGCACAGATTGCTCAGGAAGCAGCAGGGTTAAATGTAGATTTTGTTCACCCCTACCACTGACCTGCCACGTGATCCTGCACAAGCCACTTCACCTTTTCACGCCTCAGCTCTCTATGAAGAATTAACGATATCGAATTCAACTCTGACCTGCACACTCATTACAAAAGTTCTAAACAAATTCATTATTACCTACTTTTCTGAACTGCATTCTACACCTCAGGATAAAGAAATAATGAAAGACCTTCTTTTCATTCTGCCTAATCATTTTGATGAAATAAAAATTAGAAAGATAAATGGCAATTTATTTCCAATTTAATGCTTCGTAGATTTGAAGTGGTTACATTCATCTTCTTCCTGCCACTTGCCATTTCCCTTTCAACTGCAACATACACTAAACCTATGAGCAAAGGCAAAACATGCTGCTGATACACGATATTTTAGAGAATCCTCCACAGTATGCCTTACTATTAATTGAATGCTGTCTTTCCTAGGATAAGGTATACTTTCATAAATGGTGTTTTTCAATTCCTGAATATATACTACAAAAAGACCACTCTGTACTTTGGCCTCACCACTCTCTTCCTCACATTTCAGAAAATGTTAGTCTCAATAGAAGCAGTAAACAAAAGTTTCACAAGTCCTTCCAATAAAAATTAAAATTAAGTTAAACTGTAGCTAAAAAAAAAGCATGTATTTGATAATAGGCTTCCTATTTGAAAATATTTTATTTTCCTGGTATTTCCATATTCTAATAATTTATTGGACATACTCAATCCATAAACATGTACATTGAATCAAACAAAATCACAACCCTCGATGTTAACAGATGCACACAGAGTCACTTGAGCTGAATCTGAATATTCAATAGTGAGGACTGAACAACCCTGAAGTGAAAACCGAGTTTCTACTATAGTTTGTAAGTTAGGTGTGTGCACCAAAAGCAGAACAGTCCCTGTATTTACTTATTCTCAAATTACCGCAACTCTGTAGGTATCAAAATTGGCACACAGACCCCAAAGCAGATACTCTGTTCATTGTCAGTGAAGTAGTAAAAAGATACTTGTTTGTTCTCGTTTTAAAATAAAGGCATAGATATGAATAATGACGCCAGAGACCAGGAAGTCTGAACTACCCATCATCTGGAGCATGTACTGTCTATTAGCACGATGGACCTTTTATAAAGAAAAGAAATACAGGTTTTAAAATGGTTTTGATTTTAGTAATGAAAAATTTAGTTCTTAAATATCTATTTAATATGTATTCCTAATTGTTCTATATGCTGTCTCTATTGAAGTTGCTGCATTACAGCAATTATGATCTTCATATCTGACCACCTATTACATAAGATTGCTGCAATTTAAACTCTGAAATTCAAACAATTCAATTAAAATCTTTCACCCTTAGGCACTCAGTTCAACTTGAAGTATTGAGCTGCCCCTCTAAGCAAAGAGATGAAGGTCAAACAAAGGACACCTTTCCTTCAGCAAAAGTACTAATGGTTTTTGCTCAGCTCTTGTATCTTTACTGAATAGGGTAACTGATAAGGTGAGAAGACAGGGGACACAGATAAGCCTGTCAACCCACAACAAAAATTTCTGTTCAATGACATCTTCTGTAGATAAGACAGAAACATTATTTTAGAAAATGCAGTAGACAAGCTATGATTTTACCATCCTGTAAATCACCATGAATGCAGCCTCATATACATAATCATCTAAATACACATATTTTTGTAATATACCTTTGTGCAATGGTTGAGGCATGGTTAAAATCTGGATAAGCAAAAGGGACGAGACATCTCTGTAAAGCACAGGAACTTCTGGTAGCTCTTCACTTATCGGCCTGAAAAGAAAATCCAAAGAAAATCACGTCTGATACTATAAACCCATTTTTCACTTTCATATTTTATTTTGCATTTTATTTTAAATAGTGTTACATTTGATACCAAGCTTACAGAAGTCAAATACTTGACAATTTGCTAACTGATCTCGATTTTAAAACCATTTAATGTTACTAATGGATTTAACAACTTATGAGGAAGTTACCCTTTGGGTACCTGATTCTGGATAAAGTATTTTTAAACCTTTCCAACACTGCCTGAACTAGTTATTTCTAAATACAGACTCAAGGAACATTCAGTATTTCATTTTTAGAACTTGCATTCTAAAATAAGAAAATATACTGCATAGCAACATAACAATTTATTTGGTTTTCAAAGCATGGCATACAAAGTGTGTGTGTGTGTGTATATATATATATATATCTGTACCTCCATGTGGTAACAACAATCGATCTTCAAATTACATTAATCTGCTCCTATTGGAAAATACTGAGACCTTAGAAAAAGTATTGCTTTCCTTTATGTAAGGAAATGAAGACTCAAGCAGCCATCACAAGTGGGATTGTGCACTCTTATGCAGAGTCTTTATGAAAATCCCCATATGGCTAGAAGGACAGCAAATGAGCACACAAAGAGAAACCGCAAGCTTTTGAACTATTCGTATTCACTGAATGACATAACATCACCTTGTAGTCTTACACTTAAAAGTAGAAAATGTTTGCAGATCAGAAGTCTTATTTTTCTAGCTTAATGTAGCAATATCCAACAATATTCCAGCCAACAACATTCTACAGGTTCAACAGCTGAGTCAAACCAGCAAAAAATCAAAATGGTAAAAAAAAAAAAAATTAAAAAAATTTAAAAAATCATTCTCCCCTCTTTAATTGATACAGAGTGTGAAGGAGATCTCAAGCAGGAACAGCTGGTACACTGCGATACGCATCCTCCATTGTCACCTCTCCCACTCTGCAACATGCACAGAAGACAGTGCTGTTTAGGTTCTCATTCCCATTCCCAAAGAGCAGTGGGGCTGGCTGGTTGGCTGTTGAATGTCAATGGAGTAACTGAGGAGAGTATGTTTGTTTGAGATATTTATCTGTACTACTGCCAGAGGAACTATATTGTAAAGCTCTGGTGTAACTGAGCCCAAGTCTCCCATGGAAAAGAGAGTCCTCAACAGCTTCTTACAAACAGACATAAACGTCACAAAGGAAAACATCACACCGGGTTCCTTTCAATTGCCATATGATTGAAGAGCTGTCCTGGAAGGGCATTTTCTTTCTATCACTCCTTAGGTTTTTTCACCTTTTTTTCCTTTTTTGTCATTCTTCTCACTGCAGGAAAAACAAGTCTCCCTCTCCGAGCAGGAGCTTCCCTTACTCAGGGCTGCTATAGACCTCCACGCCATGATGGCACTTCACTGGGCCGTCCATAAAAACCACCTGAGAATATCAGGAAATCAAAATACATCCACCTGCTACAGTTTAAGGTTAGCTTCATGCTTTGTTCCAGCAATCTTAACTGCTCTCCGGGTAAACCACAACTGATGAAGTGCTAGATAGTTCTACGGAAAACATACTTATATCCTTGTTAAGATCTACCCTCAAACGCACAGCCTCGCTCTCCTTTTGGTTGTTCTGTAAGACATTGTGGACCACACAGTTTCCCAGTGAGGCTTTCTTAAGACCTGCAGCAAGTGCCCAAGTTTCTGTACAAACAGATTCACACTGAGGAAAGGAACATACAGAAAAGACATTTAAGTCCTCTTCTGTCTCAGCTCTGCCCTTTCAGAGCACGACTGGTGAACTACTGTTGGATCCAATTATTGCCTCTCTTCCAAGAGGACCAAACTCTGCCTCTGATCCAACTCAGCTACTGGCACTGGCTACTCCATTAGCTTAGTTGACGCCATTCTTTATGAAGACACCCACTCCCCTTGGTGCCATCTACCACACACAGCAGACAAACTGAGCACTTGCAGGCCATGTACTGGAGCAGGATGTCCACATGCGGTAGGATGTGGATACATGCATAAGGTCCTCAGTGCCTTCTAATAGTTTGGAGATCCAACCAATTTATCATCTCTGACACGCATAAACACGATGCTGCTTTTGGAAGGAGACCTCTACATAGTTACCGATTTCATGAAAACTCAAGACTTCTCTCTACAAAAGGCACTGCCAGGAGTCATCCGTGATATGAATTTTAACACACAGAAGCAGTCATGTAAGAGAAGGACTAATAGAACACTTTGCTCATATTAACTGTGGTATCCAACTATACATCTTCTAACTACTCTCCTTCCCCCCTCTCCCAGCTCAGTAAGGCGCATTCTGAAGCAATAATTCGTATTAAACTGCTAAAGCTTCCCATCATTTTTTGCAACAACCTCAATTGTGAGAATGAGCACACATGGCTTGGTTGATTGGTCTTGTCAAATGAAGTCACAGAAAAACATGATCTACCTCATCCTCTTGAATTAATGAACTGAAACAGGTACAGAATAAACACTATCCACAACACCTTTTGTTATAATCGATCATTTCATAAAATGAATGTTTTAAACACTGTAACATACATAAATATACATAATTATATATGGAAGCCTCCCAAACAAAAAACAAATATTATAAAAGTCAGTATAGTGAATTCTGAAGATGATAAGGGGGCAAAAATTCTTATCACACCACCAAGTCTCATTTTCAAAATCACACAGGCAATGAAAATGCTAATCTCACTGAGTCTCTCTAATTCTTTTACCTATGGCTAGTTCTATTTTATGATCTATGACACCAAATTTAAAAAAAAACTCCCATTGTGTAATGACTTTAAAACCATGGACATCTCTTAAATAACTTCTCACCTTTCATTTTTAATTTATATATAAATTCGGGAAAAAAAAATTTGGAATAACATTAAGACAAAAAAATTAACTCCCTCTGGTCACATTTAGTTGAACACCTCTTTCTGACAGGAGCAGCAACATCAATATCATTTCACAGTCATGCAACAATTAGGTCAAATACCAGTTCTGACAAAATTAGACAATATCCTTATATATATACAGAATAGCATGATTGACCGGCAACACAACAGATAAATGTACTCATCTTCACGTGCAGGACCAACTGAACTCTATGTCTAATTTATTCATTTCATATGAATTGGAGAAGTAAAGCTACATTAGATGTCAGGGTTTTAGATAAGCTGCTTCCGTTTACGTCAAGTGCTGCAGCATATGAAGCATTTAAAAACTGCTCTGTCATTTGCTAAAAGCCTAAGCAACTGCTTCATTAGGACACTGAAACTGAATTTATTAAACGTGTTTAGAAATATGTTTTATGGAAATTGCCCATCCTATTAATCCCCAATGCATATGTGAAAGCTTGATAAGACTGACTTTACAAAAAACTATGCCACAGAAGCACTAAATAAAATGAAAGCAAGTACAATTTCCAATGGGACCAAAGTAATATAAAATGATTCCAATGTATTACAGTTGCATGTATCCATTAAAAAAAGGGAGGGGAGGGAGGTGGAAATAAACTGCACAGTGCAATATAAACGTATAGCAAAATGAAACACGCATTGCTCAACTTTCTCTAAGGAACTGACCTCTCCTCCAGTCCAAGGTAATTGGGCTGCACAACTCTCTGTGCCAATACCAGAGCTGTCTATCAGCTGACAGCTGAGCAACTCTGCCTCTGTATTCTGCATCCTCCTCCTGATAGAGGTTATACAGGAATCACTTCTTTGGGAACAGATACAGAGGAACAGAAAATTCTCTTCTACTTTGAAAAAGCATCATTTATTTATGGCCTTTCCCTAACCGCTTTCCCTCTTCTCTCAGCTAGAGACACTTAATTTTTGTTTGATGCTAACTCCAACTAATTATAAAGTTAGAATGTCAACAAATGAAGTGGAAGTTTTGAGCCTCACGCCTCTTCAAACTGTCAGATACAGAAAACGTGAGACACAGGGACAGGGATACAGCTAAACAAAGGTTTAATCAACTAGGGCAAATTTATATTCTCTTCAGTATTTGCAGGATTAGAAATAACAGCCCACAAATGCCAATCTGCAGAAAGGTCAGAGTAATACACAGCTTCTGATGTTCATGATAAGAAAGTAGAATTCTACTATTTATTCTGGCTACACTCTAGGATATAATCACAATTTCATATTTGCTCTTCATTGTGTCACAGCAGATTTTACAGCAAGTCAGTTTTTCTCGTTATACAACACAGGATTTCACTGACAGTACCAACATCAGGCATTGCCCATTCTCTCTTTCAACACTGTGCTCCCAGCACTCCCTTGTCACCTGCTCCCAAACTTATTCAAATTAGCCTTTCCAGAAACACGGATTAGTTCCTTGACTTTGTTCATGATGCAGCCTGCTAAAGTTACACCAGCACAGCTGAATTGTTATTTTTCCCATTTCACAACAGTTTCTGCGATGGAGATGTGACTTAAGAGGTTCCCACACACAGCTGCTCATTCTCATCCCTATACTGCAGTTTGTTGCCCCAGTATGACACAATAAACAATCACCAAAGCCATCTAGCTCAGAACAAAACAACAGCAAAACACTTCAGTAAAAAACAATCCAGTACATTTCAGCATTTCAGTTTATCTTATAGTTCCCCCCGCAAGTGCTTCTATTGCAAAGATTCTTAATGCTTTACTGAATCCTTCTTTGCCAACACATTTTGCCTGACAAAACAGACGCAAAAATTTCAGCCTACGTAGTGATATAAATTTAAAAAAATGTATATCCTTTTATTTCAGGTTTGTAATTCCTGAAACTCTGGCTATTTGGACTTGTCTATTAAATTCACATCTGGGTTTAGTAATTAGTGCCTCCAGCTGCTCCTTCTCTGCCCCCTGCCAGAAGCTATTATTCCCCACTTACACCACAATAATTGTTTATTTGATCACCCTTGAAACCAGATCTGCCCCTCGTAGAACAATTTGCTTAAGCACAGCCTGTGGGACCATGTGTATATTAAATTTGACAACATGAACTGCATAGGAAAAAGAATCCACTATATCATTCGCAGTTCATCAGACTTAGCTGTATCTTTTTTCCTCTTCAAACAGTTCAATTATTTAGACGCTTTTTGATAGGGTATGTTCTTGCTCAAAACTTCCTTATTTCTACATTACCTTGGCATGGCTGCATGAGCTCCTTCCTATCTTTCCTCTCAGCTGCCATTTCAACTACGGAGCAATTTAGGTACAGATGTAGAAGATGACACTGGGCAAAACCAGGGGCTTTGGAAAGTACAGTAGAGCAATTCTGTGAAAGTCTTTACAAATTACTTTGATCGGTTCTCCCAGACACATAAAATCTAAGGTATAATTTATGAATAATGATAGCTGGGTTGTGGAAAATCAAGCTAAAAATTGTGAGCTGTGTATCTGGGTAGTTTGAATTGTGAATATTTATTTATTTAAATAAAGTAACTACAATTAAATAAGAGTGAAAAGATAATGCAATGGCACTTGTATCCCACAGGTTATTTTGTTTTCTAGCTTTGAAAATTACCTTTTTAAATAAATAAAGATGCAACTAGTGTCGTGGGTTAGGCCGAACCCCCCACACAGCTGGTCACTCACCCTCCCTCACCCCCAGGAATGAGGGAGAGAATTAAAGGAGAAACGGGAAACCCGTGGGTTGAGATAAGAACAATTTAATACAGATGATCTAATACACAGTGCAGATGCTCACCACCCCCTCTTATCCGCAGCCCGTCTCGTCCCGAAGCTGCAATCGCGGACGAACGCGAGGCTCCGAAATAGAAAGGGGCAGAGAGAGAGAGGTAGTACTCCGAGAGTGGGAGTACTGGGAGAGAGAGAGAGAAAAACAACAGAATAAAAAAGGCAATAGAGCAAAAGAGCAAAAGGGGCAAAAGAGCCAAAGTGGCAAAAGAGCCAAAGTGGCAAAAGAGCCAAAGTGGCAAAAGAGCCAAAGTGGCAAAAGCCCTTCTTTCAGGCTGACCCTCACTTTTATACTGGGCATGATGCTGCATGATATGGAATACCAATTGGCCAGTTTGGCCCTCAATCTTAAGTTCCACCACAAATCACAAGGGGAATCGTGTCCCCCTTGTCCCAGCTATGCTCCCCCCTTATCCCGCCGTGCTTCTGCACTCCTGCACACTGAAAAGTCCTTGGAGTCTCAAACATCAACTTGCTATCAGCATTCTTTTCAGAGTGAGCCTCTGAGTAAAACCAAAACACAGAGCTCTTCTAGCTGCTAAAAAGAAGAGCTAACTCTGTCCCAGATAAAACCAGGACAACTAGCTTCTCTGGAAAATTGCTTTCAACTGAAATAATAATTTAAAGTAAAAATTAAATAGAAAAATATAGCATGTTGATTTAAAGTTATTTTGTTCCTATGACTTTCTTGATGTTAAATTGTTTGGAATCAAAGATAATATAGATCTTTTCCTCTCATTGACCTTTTTTTCTACAATTCTTTACTTAAAAGTCTCAAGTACTGATCAGGCTCATGACTCAGATTTCTTGGTTAGTTTTAAAATGGCAGAGTGCTATCCACATCTTAAATCTGCTGTAGTATTTCTCCACCACCCTCTTAATCTTCTTCAGTTTACAGCAGTGTATGACCTTCTAATTGCTCTAAGCACTCTTTTCTGTACCTGAAAAAATTCACTATTCTGGATTTCTCAGAAGGCTATGTGACTCTAAGAAGTGTGCAATTAGATCATCACACCAATCATATGGATGCCATCTTCAAGTTTCTAAAATATAATTACCACTATCCATCTTATGCTCTAATTTGTAGATTAAAAAGCTGTCCCCAGGCTGCTGCCTCTGCAGCTTTCTCGGGCCTGCAGACTAAGGTAGGAAAAAAGTTCCATGGAGTGAGCAAAAAAATTCCAGCTTGATGGGATCTGTGCATCTCAACAGTTAGCTATTTCATGGCAAAAAGGGTGATCTCTCAGTTATAGCTTCCTAAACCATTTTAGGACTTAGTGTCAAACCAACATCAGAAAGTCTACCAAGAAATCTTGGAAACTATTGCAGAAAATGAAGAGAACTACTCAAATGCATTCCTAACATGCAATACCTCCTGCAAAGCAATCCATTATGGTCCACAGTACCACTCACTTCTAAGTGATTCAAAATACTGCCTAATGAAATCTAATTTACAGCAACCTAACCTTGATATGACTAATACACGGGGAATTCCATCAAGTCTGCAAGGGCGAAAAAAAGTTGCATGTGCAGAAAAAGCAGCCCCTCTGTTAACAGCTGCTTCTAAAGCCAAAGCTCTTCACATATTGAAATGAGAAGCGCATGATGAGTCCCATGGCCATTCTGATTGTCAACAGCCTATCAACGTGATCTTGTAATTTGGCCTGGTATAACTCAGTCGACTATACACCAAATTTATTAACCTTGTTCCACTGCTCAATCTAGGTCAGGGCAGAATTGCATGAAAACATACTCTCAAAGTGGTTTGAACACATACTGAATAACATAGATTTTCAAGCTATAAAATTCTTGATGTTTTGTTCTGCTAATGGTTTCTAAACTAATCTGTTAATCTAGTCTGATTACTGCAATAATCTAACGTTGATTGCAAAAGGAGACCTGGGTTCAAGAGGACAAACAGTAAAATCTCAAACTAGAAGCAAGCACAAACATTTTAACAATTTTTCCTTATTTGTATGTTAGGATTATGGCATCACTATCCTAGATGAATTTTTGAAATCCCATGATGCTTCCCACCTCAGGTTCCAAGAAACACACTGACAAATAGACAGCTGGATAAGCACTAAAAAGACAGTCTTTTCAACATTATTGTGAGCTACAAACTGGAGAACTTAGCTATGAAGAAGATGCTCAAGGTGCCAAGGGAAAAAAAAAAATAAATTACTGCTTTCCTCTTATGAGGAAAAATAATCATCTGGTTTTAGGCAAGAAACCTTTCTTCTCATCATCAAGGTAGAATCAGAAAAGTGAAGGGTCTTAAGTCAAACAAGGAGATGAGTCCTTGCAGAACACAGATTTATGGCTCCATTTATTATATTGTTAATCCTTGCATAGCTGCATACGCAAGGTTAATGTTTTAAAAGCAAACTCAGGTAAATAACTTGTTTAAAATAACAAGCATGATGAAAATTTTTAGCTTCAAATACAATTATTTCTCACATATATCAGGCCTACTTATGTTACTTCTGTAACAGCTATTAGTCACTACCCAACTTTCAATAAACTATTTTTGAACTTAATCTCTATGTGAATTTTGTCTAGCATCCATACCAAGAACAGCAGTGCACACATCCACTTACCTAATACTATTAAATTTGCATGTGCTTAAGCTTGCAAGTGGTGTATTTAAGCTTTACCTCAAACTTGGAATGTGTTAGATCTTATGTAAAAGATATTTGAAAATTTACTTTTACAAATATATACATACAATTTTTAGATGTTAAGTTCATCAGCCTACCTCACTGAGAATTTAAATTAAGACAGAAAGTTATCCAAAGTCCCTCTGTAAGGACCTTTCTTTCACAAGATAAAACTGATTATCTGGCAAATTAAAATACTTGCTCTGAATTTTTATCCTGCATCGGCTGGGTTAGTTTTCTCCAGGGATTGTATGCAGAGTCTATACTGTAGAGGCGCATGTGCATGGCCAACACGTGGAACAGCTGATCTGAAAGGTGAAGAAGATAGATTGCTCATTATTATGTACAGTAATATGAAGCATTTTACATTAAGTTGCCATCATTTATTTCACAAGATTCTGAAAAGTCTGTTATCTCATTCCAAATAAGCTGGCACCCTAACAAGCATCTTTTTTTTTGTATACATGCATATGTTCACTGCCTTCTATTGAAATCTTACTTCTCTTCAAAACCTTTTTCAAAAAATAAAAAAATAAAAGAATTCTCTCCTGAAATTCTGAAACAGAGACAGGCTGTTTAGAAAGCTTCAATCAGATCTCAGTTGTTTTAGTACTTATAAAACATCAGCTCCGTGTTCTTAATTACAAGTCTTTTTAAAAATCCTGCATCATATGCTGTTATGTTGCTAAGGTTCCATGCTCACCTCACTTCCCTTTCCAGTTAATGCCAGAAGCTGTGATTTCCTAAACATCTCTTCTGATACACTTTTAAACACATAGCTTTTATTCCTCTCTCTCACAGTTAAGTTCTGTGCAGAACATACTTGAAATCAACTTGAAGTTGCTAGAAGTTCTGGCCTACAGCATGATCACATCGACTCTTTCTCCTTGAAAGGGTATTATTCCTTCTGCCTTCATCAGGTTATTTTGTAGGTAACTTTTGGAAGAGAAAAAAACCCCAAACTTGTGACCACACCACAATGACAGTAAAGTAGCAACTGTCTTTATAACGGCAGAGATGTGTCTATACAACCTGCAGGCAAAGTTTGCTGATATTCATCAATTCAAAGCCTTCTGTATGCCCACTGTGTCAAAAATACCATTTGCAAATCACTTCTAGAACCTTTTGAACAAAGGATTCTTAATTGATCATTCATGCACATTACTGCAGTATCGTATATCAAAATGCAGTTTTCATTTCTCTGTGAATTATATGACCAACACAAATACAGATAATATCTAATCCTGTCTCCCCTTAAGTGAGCTAAGGCAGCAGGCACCATCTACATTGACAGCATTTTCAGAGATGTATGTTCAATAAGAACCTCAGACTTCTTTTTCTGTGATTACAATACAGTTACAGCTCAGAAAAAATGCATCGTTTTATCTTCATAGGTTTATATTAAAATCACATTTTAAAATACAATTTCCCACAATTTTGCTCATTTTTTTCTTCTACTGTATCTTGCTATTTGCTGCTGTGTTTGCTTCTCCTGTTTAATATTCCGGGATCCTGCTTTCTTCCTTTTTCCCTTAGTATCTTGCCATCTTCTTTCCCCCTTACTCCTCTTTTATTCTTTCAGTTGATCTCTTTGCCTCCTACTGTCTTAATCTCTCTCCCTTCTTTCTACAACCCACTTGCTCAACCTACACACTTGCTCACAGGTCCTCTTTTGTCAGTAGAAATAGCAGCTATTAATTTATTTTCCATAAATAGACAATTACTCAGAGGTACGCAACGGCCAAAAAAGTCCCATGGTGAAGTCAGCTGACTGCCAGAGCCTGAGGGCTGTAATTAGCTCCTGGGGTTTGTAAAATAATTGGAGATGTAGATGGCATTGGAATTGATTGCTGTCACCTGCTTTCTGAATAAAAACAGTCAATGAGGACAAAATAAGTCATCTTTTCTCCTGGCAAGAGATTCCAGCAAAACATTGCTTTGCTGACAAACTTCAAAACATACTGCTATTTCATCAAAAAAAATTTAAGAAAAAAAGTCAGTCTTTGGAATGAAACCCATGAAAGTATCCGTTCCTTCCCTCTTGCCTCTCTGCTACTAAAAGGAATATCATTTTTTTCTGAACTGCTCCTTGCCTCAAATAGAAATGGGCAACTATGCAAAAAATAATAATGCTTAGCATAATTAATTAACCCTCTGTTCCTTTAACAGCTCTTTCCTGAGTTTCTACCAATATGAAATTAAGCAGGCAAGCATGAAATTCCAGCACTGGGGAATTTATTTGTAATCTCCAAGTGCGTAACATTTACGGAATCAAACACAGTCTAACACCAACTGAATCTGAACAGAAAAAAATCAGCTTAGCAGTCTTGTAAAACAGTGTTATTTGTTTGTCATTAAGGCAACTACGCTTCTTTACAAGAAAACATGTTTAGCACGCAAACCTAAAGCCAGGAAGTTGGTAGTGAAATATGGTTACAGTGACCTTTCATGAAATATTTATTATGACTTGACTTTAAAATACCAAGACATTCTCTAAGCCAAGACAGCACAGCCATGCTTGCTTCTAGACCCGGGGTAATCGAGGAACGATGCTGCCCCTTAACGGGGACACTGCAACAAACGCCGCCCAATGGCTGCCACCTTCCAAGCTACTGAAATGGAGTTTTACTCCATTTGTCTGCTGCTGCCATATCTGCATTTCTAAGATTTCTAACAATCAGCAAAAACTAAGGACTAGTCAAAGGAAGATACAAAGGTTTATTTCTTCACAAACATTCTTCTGTTTCACAAAACAGGGACTCCAAATTGCTCTACCTCAAATTTACTATGATTACAGAATATTGGAGAAAGCCAAGGAAAACACCAGAGGACCAAAATCTATAACTGGCACCTTCTTCGTGCATAAGAATGTGTTTCACCATGTTCTTATGCTTGAGGGACTCAGAAATCTGTCCTGGGTCAAATGAGTATCAGAGGTTTTTTACCTGTGTATTTGTGTGAAAGCATCATTCCAAAATGTAGACATAAAAATACAGAATATCCTCTCATTTTTTAATACCCTGCTTAAAAGCTGTAAAATAAACTTTTTTTTTTTAAAAAAAAAGTAGCAGGAAAACATTAACGTGATAATGGCCGACAAACAACCACCTTGCCTTGTCTTGGGAAGAATGGAAAGGAAGGCCATAACCCCACCAGGCATCCCAAACCCCTCCACCGCCCCCAGTGTATCTTATGTACAATTCCTTCCAGGACAGCCCACCTTTGTAAGTGGGAAAAGACAGGATCCGTCTGTAGCTCAGCGTCTCCAAAACAACATTCTTAAAATTTGATAGAACAATATTAATTTTAGAAAGCACAGCAGTAATAAAATTAGAGAACGGTAATTATGAAGTCACAACAAAATGAGAATTACTGGTTTACTGATAAAAAATCATGAGTAGTAAACAATGAAAAGAATTTGAATATGATCCTCCTCTCTTAATAACTTATTAATACTTGAGACAGGCTGCATCCAGTTAAACTGAGTAAATACAAAAATCCCAAAATTTGAACGCACAATGTAAGTTATTGCTGCAAGTCATCAGGGACTTGGCAAGATTCCAAGATTTAGACATGTAAGTGGGCATGTTCATTACTGGCTTTAAAACATGTTCATATGACTCAAATATTACCTACATTGAAGCAGTACTGTCTCAATTCTCCCAGCTTATTTAGATGGTCTTGGTTTTCACAGAATACATGTAAAGCTTACATAAAACACTTCATAGACTCATTCAGATTAGCAGTTAGACATTAGCCTTAACTTCGATTCATATTGGCCTTCCTAATTCCATTTAAGGAAGCTATTAGAGGAAGAGTTTTAACGCTGCTCCTCTCATAAAAACAAAGGTAGTGGGTATTTTGTTTACGTATCTGCACTGCCTGCACTATAGCACCTGCAGTTGCACTCTTTACTATTTTTAGTGTTGAAGCACACTGATTCTACAGATGTTGAGAAACCTCTTAAAAATATTCTGGTACACTAAAATGAATAAAGCAGGAGCCTATAAAGGTGATTTTACAGCTCTTTTCATGTCTAGCGTGGTATGCACAGCACAAAAGACTGAATTCAGAAAAGGATTTGACAGACGAAGGGCAGAACTGACAAAAATGCTGAGCTGAGCTGACAAAAAATGAGTGATTCAGGAAGTTACATACAGGTTTAAGTTTTGGTCTCACTAGTAATCTTGGTTTGGTCTTTGCCAAAGCTATCCCAAATTTCTACATGAGTTTTGATGACTTTTTTCTTCTTTCTTTTCTTCCAGTCTCTCCAATTATCAAAGGTGAAATCAGAGGATTTTTTCTGTCACTAATTCCACTTCCACAATGTATAGCAATGTGTTACAATAATGATGACAAAGAAAATTAAGGAATTAGCTGACTTTGTTTTACTTGCAACGTCTAGATGATGTATTTATTCCCCAGTCTCTCTCATGCTTATGTTTTAGAAGGACATAAATAACACATACTGCTGTTATGAAAATCTCTACCTTGCTATTTTGCTTTGATCTTCTCTTTTTTCATTCTATAAATTAGTACTCATTTACAATGTCAAAAGATACAAAACACAGTGACACAGCAGTTCATCGCAAGTGGAATTGATAACATCCCTGTTTCAACTGCTGTGTGAAGATCTTATCAGACTAGACACATTACACCCTTCTTTTCCCTAAGTTTGCTGGGACTATCAAGAAGAATGTGGATTATAACAAAAAACACTTGATACAACCAGATGGGACTTGATTGCTAATAAGGAGATTGAGGAATTTTCTTCTCCTCGTAGAGATTTGTATAGTCCACTTAGCAACAGCAGCTGCAAAGACGTGCTGACATCACCTTCCCGCTCATCACTGATCCAGTAGATTGGAATCAGTGAAGGAAAAAACCATGAAGGTCAGGAAAAGCCTATTAAGGCATTAAGACATGAATAGTCTTTACAAAATCTTAAGCCTTAATTGCTGATGAAGCAGCTAATTGTCCTCGATACCAAACTTGCCAGTGTATGAAATCAACTTTAGCAACAGAATTCTAATGGTATCTATCTTTGCCTCTCCCATGCTACGTATGAATGGCATATGAAACTTTTTTAAGAAATAGTTAGGATCATCTGATGGTGAGAAAACCTCTTTTTCAAAGGTAGCATGAATGGACAGGCACCAAAGATCTTCAGATTGCCAGCTCCTAACTAAAAAACAAAACAAAAACCCACAAAATCAAATGAACCAACTGCAGAGACTCACTGTACAAAGTGGCAAAAAAGCATTCCTAAAAACTACTTTTATTCTTTTTTTTCCTTCAGTGGTTGCAG